GTGTACCCTCGTTTTTTTAAAAATATATATGGAACCCAAACTTTTTAAGATTGTATCGATTGTATCTTTGCCATTAATTTGTCGTTTACTTGTAGTTAGTAAATTACGTTAATCACTCATTTGTTGCATAATTAAGCTAATGTTTCCCCCTTTAAGACGGACGTCCAAAGCGAGAGATCGATCTTGGATATAGCATCTCAAATATTGTTAATGTAGGAACTAAAGTGGAGATGAGAAAGGTAACTTTGCAGTGTGATTCTCCAAGAAAGTTTGGAGAGAGTCTAGTATAAGAGTTTTTTTTTTTAAGATAAAAGGTGCATGGAGAGTGGGATGAGATTTAAGGAGATAAGAAGAAGAATAAAATTATGAATTTTAGTTTTGTGTCGAAGGTAAAGATGTAGAAGGAAAAAATTTTAGGGTTTTTTTTTTTTTTGTATTAAAGTAAGATGAGAAGGCAAAGTATATAGATTACAATGAGTTGCTTGATGGGTGTTTTTCACGGTTGTTGACACGTGATTACGTGAACATTTGGTTGCAAAAATAAAAGGAATAATTTTGCTAGCATGTAATTGCAATGTATCCGAGGAGATAAGTATATAGATGTGTAGGCGTCGCTCGAAGTACATCTATGCTTGATAATTTTAGGAAGTTTGATTTGACATCTAACGATAGGGACGAAAAATAGGGAGTCGCCAACAAATTTTTTAAGGAACTTGTAAACCATTCGTGAATCATTAAAAGCAACCATGAAAAAGGTCAAACCGATGGCAACAACGATTTGATCCATTAAGGTTACACCTCATTCATAATCCATGAGATTACTAACTGCATCGTGGTGCTGGACCATGACTGGATATTCGGGGATGATGGTATGGATTGAGTCATGAAGTCAATTCCGCCAGTATTGGCCCCAACCTGATTCTTATAGATATGTAATAATTGCAACCCAAGACATACAACAAAGATTCAGTTCGCTCTAAATTAATTAATCTAAGTCGACTGAATATTTAATCCACACATAAATCTAATTATTGTGATCACTTCGATTAAACAACAAGATTATTAGGAACCTTAACCGGTTGTCCAAATTATCTTACTAAGCGTGATTTTCAATTACAGGTCTTGATTAAACATGCAATATGGTGATCAAAACAAATAGAATAGATCAAAACAAAACAATATTCATACATATCGGAAGCAACTCAATAATAAAAATCAAAGGAATGAATTTAACGCATGTCAAACATGATACAAATAAATTATTAATAAGTTAATACTAACATGATTTATATAACGCCTAAACATGATACTAATAATTAAAGAATAAAAAATCATAAACATGATGCTAGTAATCAAAAAGCAATAAAAATAAGGAAAAATTGCTTTAAATAATACCACCTTTCACCCGTCCGCTAAAAACAAGTCCACCTTTTGTTTATTTCAGAATAATACGGCCTTTGGGGGGTATCTGCTTTAAACAAGTTATTTTACCTACAACCTGAATAACCGGTTAAATTTTTTATTTTTTTTTAATAAATTCATTTAACAATGTAATTAACTCTTAATAACAACTTCAATTATGATTTATTAACATTTAAATCAAAAAACAAAATAAAAAAAAACAAAAAATAAAATCAGCAACTTTGGGCTGGTTTTTGCAGGTGAATTTTCCCGTCGGAAATTGGCTGTGTTAGGCTGCCGGAAAATTTGATGGTGGCAGTCCAATTTTCCTCTTTCCTCACTCTTCCTCTCATATTCTCTCGCACCATCTCCACTCTTAATACTTCACCGTCGCGTCGAAAAACAACCATCGACAACCACCAGGTAAACGCTTCACTTCCTCTTCTTCTCACACTGTTCCATCTTGCTTAGGGTTTTTGATTCAATTTGACTGATTTTGAGCATTTGAATTATACCAACTCAATTAATTATACTTCCTCCGTTCTTTTTTTATCGCATCACTTTGACTTTTACACTATTCACATAATATTCTTTGACCATCTTTGTGATTTATTCGTAAAGAAAAACATAGTCATGTGGGATCTAGTTAGATTCATCTCGAAATCTACTTTCCAAATATTAATTTTTTATAATTTTTACAAAGGTATAATTAATGATATTAATAGCTAAAGTAATGCATTGGCAAGCGTGAAATCTCCTATGATGCAATAAAAAAAAAACGGAGGAAGTATTATTCTTGCTATTCAATTTGTAACATTCGTTATACTCGTTTAGGTGGTTTCGAGAAGGTGGTGGTGGCTGGTGGGTATGGTGGGGAGGCGACGGTGGTGGGAACTGTTACAATTGTGCACATGGCGAGTTTCCACATAAGGGATTGAGAATGAGATTATTACTGAGGAATTCAGAGTTTGATGTCGACGAGTAGCTCTGTAAGTGTAGATTTTGATGCCGGAGACATGCCGCTTGCAGTGGTGAAAGTGGTAGCAAAGGAGAGGGATGGGAAATTCGAGGTGGTTGAGGGGAAGGGGGTGGCACCGGCGTTGGGCTGGGTGGTGGTGCGGCACTGGCACTGGGCTAGGTCGTGGGTTTGGGTGGGGCCGGGAGGTAGTGGCTGAGGTGGTGTTGGTTTTGGGGGTTTGCCATAGTCCCATGGTGGCCAAACGGAAAGGGGGGAGGGGCGCACAAACCAGAATGGGGAAGGGATTGGAAGGGATGGTTTTTTTTTAATTAACTTTTTTAATTAAAAAAAATATCTTTTTAGACCAATAAAATGATGACACGTGTCCATATAACCTATTAGTCAGGTTACCAACAGGTTACAACTTGTTTAAAGCGGACACCCCCCAAAGGTCGTATTATTCTGAAATAAACAAAAGGTGGACTTGTTTTTAGCGGACGGGTGAAAGGTGGTATTATTTAAAGCAATTTTTCCTAAAAATAATTAGAGCACATAAAATCAAGAGAATTAAATACTCACTCCGAATGTACAACTTTGAATACTATACATCATAATGAATAAATTGTTGGAGGTGAGAATCAACGTGCCATTGATGAAGATGAAGGGAAAAGGAGGAAAGATGAACACCATCGTTTGTCAGTGTCGACAATGGGTTTTGATGGTGTTACCATTGAGGTGATACGAGGGATAGTGGAAGCGTAAAAATAAATCTACACCTTTGACACCATGATAGAGTTATGAGAAAGAGAATGTTGGAATGCCTCGAAAGAATGAGAGAAAGCTTAATTATATTGATGTGATTCGATAAGTTTGTAAAAAATAAAAAATAAAAATGACTAGATACATTTGCTAAGTGTAGACATCTGATTGTGTCTCCCCAAAAAACCAAAGCCAGTGATGAGTACCTTTCGCGCTCTGATTTAAGAGTTCGGTAAAGGGTTGAAGAGTCTCGTGAAGTTACCCTAAGATTTTACCATATTCCTAACCTTGCCTAAAATGTTTTACTCCAAAATAATTTATTTCGTGTCTTTAAACCCAAAACCACTCATTTCGTATCCCTTAAAATCATTCATTTAGTGTCCAAACCATAAAAACGTCCAAACCAGGTTATTTTGGTCCATAATCCTGGTCCAATTATTGTTTAGTTGGATGGGGTTTGAAAATAGCTTTCCAACGATATATTATAAGCCCAAATCCGACTTAAAATGAATAAGTTATGGCCAAAATACCAAACCGTGGCTAGGCCCACCTTACCTACGACCCAATGATCATATGAGGGTCTAAATACAATATTCCCAATCCTAAACCCATTAGGATTCTTTAGGAGCTTCTAGAATCATCTAGAAGATTCTAATTTATCCTTTCCGAAAAGATAAAGATCAAAGGATTTGATATTGAATAAAACATCTCTTTTTTGATAATCCGAATCCCGTTCAATATAGAAGACGTACGGATATTTTGTTAAACCAATTCTATTGGAAATCGAACTCCATACGGATTCTTATCTTTAGAAAACCATTGCAGAAGAACGGAAACATCGCGCCGCAATAGTCCTATTGCGCCGCGATACGCCTGTCGCCCCGCGATGAAAGATGTTCTATTCCGTTTCAAATTTTAATTTTTTTTGATCGCTTCGACTCTCTTTTTTCCTTATAAATAGAGGTCATTTTACCCCGTTTCATATCATACACAACCATCATCAATCATCTTATTCCTTTCTTCTCTTTCTTGATCCCCATGTTCTTAGCCTTAGCCTAAACACATCCTTAATACTCTCCTTCCTTCGCGAGATTCAAATACTCCTAACCATACTCGACGTTGCCTTCGACCTTGACGTGAAAGGTTGATAGTTCTGAGGGTTTGGTCCCAAATCTCTATTTCAATTCATATTTGATTTATTAACTTTATTGATTTAACTTTCTTGAAGTTTAGTAACGTGTGTATTGTTTTAATACCAAGAAGGATGAGGCATCAAAGTGAGTAATTTAATTACCCTTGTTATTATTCTTTGATTTTGGAGTAGAAATCATGTTTACAATGTTATTATGATTTCTAGTATCATGCTTAGAATGTTATTTTAATTCCTAGTATCATGTTAGGATGTCTTTTTGATTTCTAGTATCATGTTTAGGATAATGCTTTGATTTTGTTATTAGTGACATGCTTAGAATTTGTTATTAACCTGTTTGGTATCATGCCTAGGATCTTGCTATTACGATATTTTGATGATGTTATTATGATGATGATTGTTGCGATGATCATATGTTGCTTGATTATTTATGATTTATTGTTATTGCTTGATCGTGCCCCTTTTTGTAGGTTTAAAGGGAATTTGTACTTGAAATCACGCCTAATAAGATAATTAATAATTTGGATTTAGGCTAATATGATTTTAATTCAAGTGATCACCAATAATAGATTTGATTGTGCATTGATAATCAACCAACGTAGATTAAATAGGTTTAGGATTAACTTGTCGTATGTGTGTTGATCGGAAAGCGCACATGAGTATCATAAGAATTGAGTAGAGGCCTATTTCCGCCGGGTTCAATCTATTTTAGGTTGGATTCGTACCATCATCCCCGAAAATCTAGTCATGATTTCGGACCACTATGGAGTTAGCGATCTCCGTGATCAGGGGCGGACCTTTAGAGGGGGCTACACTGGGCCTGGCCCCTGGTAACTTTTGGAAAAAAAAAATTTAAGGCCCAATAAAAAAATAAAAAAAAAAGAAAAGAAAGAAAAAGCTGAAAGTTTCGAAAGAACAGAAACACTGAAAGTCTAAAACAGCAAAGATGAAACATTGAAACTCATTAACCCAAGGAAAGAAGTGCTCGTCCAGTAGATCGATCTCACCGTCCTCAAGTCACCAGTCACCTAACCGTCGCGGCGTCGCTGCCTGCCAGCCTCACGGAGTCACGGCCTCAGTCTTCAATTGTTCTTTGCTTAATTGCTTACGCTAATTCGTTGAATCCGTTCGACCTTCAACTTCAACCGTTCTTCAATAGTTCAATTCGGTCATCAATTCGTTGCCTCAATCCATGTATGTATTTTAAATCTGAAATCTCTTAAATTTTTATACTATATCTTGAAATTATTGATTTAATTAATTAATTTAGTATGTCTTGTTAATCCTAATTCAAAATCCCCAATTTGAAATCCCCAATTGTTAACCCTTATTTTCAGATTTTAATGTTATAATTTGATGATACTCAGGAATCAGGATAGGAAGGATTGAAGGAAAGCTCGCTGCCGCGTTGATTGCAATCTCCAACCTTTAACAGCCCAAGCCAAGTAAGATTTCTAATGTAAATTTTCAATTATTTGTATTTATGAATCAATTAATGTATTATGTACGGGTTGAAAGGCATGTTTTCTAAGTGGTTTAGTACTAAGTCAATAATTGATGATTTTAAATTATTAAAAGAAAGACGAGCCTTACTTTAGTAGTTTACTAAAGAAATATTTATAATAGTATAATCTTACATTGGATTTTTAAATAATTTTCATATGCTTATGTTATTATATTTTTGTTTTAAACGTACCTTTATACTAGACATTATTGGCCCCCGAAAGAAAAAGTTTCAAGATCCGCCACTGTCCGTGATCGTGAATGGGGTGTAACCTTCACACCCGTGAACGGTTTACAAGTTCCTAAAACTTGTTGGCGACTCTTTTATCTCTGACTTCTTTTCCTTGGAACGCCACCATGCCTAAAAGCATGAACCACGGTGGGGCGCGAGTTGAAAAATTCCCTACACTAAGAATTAAGATTATAATTTAAATATCATCCTAAATGAGTAAATTAAGGGATTACACAAACTATAAATAATAACTAACAATGATAATGATGATTTATCCCTTGTTTCTTTTATAATTCCTCCGTTATTTTTCAATAGTGACGAACCTTTGAGTTTTCATGTTTGCCAATACATATTTTATATCATTAATGTCTTTAATTATACTATTGTAAAAATTATAAAATTTCCTCTATAGTATTTTGAAAGGTATAAATTGAGATGAATCTACAAATAAATTAAAGAAGTGTGTGCGAATACTGTAAATTCTCAAATGTTATGATTATAGAAGTATGTATCTCTCAATCTACGAATTAAATACTCATCAAATTTATATTTAGAGTCACTTAGCTTATAAATCTTTATTCACCTGTCAATTAAACATTATTACATTTGATGTACACGACTTACAAAACGCATTTTAAAACGTATATAACCTAATTTCTATACAAGTAAATATTACAAAATGTTGATATTAATTAATGTACATTAAAACAAATCCAATAAGATCTCAAACAACTGTACGTGTTATGAAATATAACTTATAAATTATATTAAAAGAGATATTTGGTCAAAATTTTTAAACTTTAACCCCAAAAAGTGCAATGAGACAAACAAACTTTTGAGGACGTAGTAAAGGTAGAGGAAAGAAGAAAGAAAAAACGAGAGAAAATGGAATTGACTAATGGTAAGTTAACAACATGGATAAAATTGACAAGATGTTTAAAAGTTTGGGTTGCCATGTGGAAATTATAAAAATTGATGTTTAGGGTATATATTTGGTTCCTTAAAGGTGTATAGGTAAACAATAACTATTAGTCAACAAAAGAAGAATAATAGAATCACAAATAATCACTGAATTTGAGAAAACATATATACTCCGTAGATTGATGGTACATAGTAAGATTGACAACAATAACAGGTTTAACTGTCTTTGTATGAGTTAACTGTCTTTGTTGTAGGCACTTGGAGAAGCACAATGAGTCACTCGACGATGATTATGAGAGAATGTCTCATGAATTGCACAGGCTGCAGGTATTTACTATTTCAATCGTGAATTTATGTGTTCAATGCGGATTTTGGAACTTGACATGCTTGATCTCTCCTAGGAATTTAGAAGGGGATCGAATTAGTATAAGGATGAATATAGTTGCTCTTTGTAATTGAAAATTACACTTTTGAAGGATCCAATAATAGTTTGGTGTTGAAATGTTAGAATACAGATATTTGATTTTCTGAAGTGGCTAACTTTTAGCTTTATAGTTGTTTGTCTGTTTCACAACTACGTGCCACTATGAATTTCATTCTTCGAGCTCCTTGCCTTTGTGTTTATTTCCTAAAAACTATGTGTGTTTCCTAGACAAATTTAGGATAAAGGCTATTGTAGAGTACTGTGGTCAACTGCTATGTTGCAGATGTGAAGCAAAATGTTATTTAGTTGCCCCCATTTTTAATTTCGTCTCCTCGTTATTGGTCCATGTTCTTATGCTTTTACGACATGAATAATTCGATAATAATTTAGTGGTGGAAATATGTTCAGTTTCCTTAAATCTAGAACAAAAGTCTTATAATTGAAATTGCATAATTATAGAGATTTTGGAGTTGCTGCAAAGCCACTAGCTAAAAGCCATTGGCCACATTTTATAGAGCTCTAGAACGTAATCCTAGTAATCTTGTTGTAATGAACTACATGATGTTTGAGGAATTGAGGAGTTTAACTAATTCATTAGTATTATTGAATGATTTTCACTTTACAGAGCGAAGTGAACAGAATGACAGCTATCGAGGATGTCGACGAGATATTGTAAGCATATATATATATATTTTTTAAGGAAAATTTGATTCTAATAATCCCACCTTTAACCGGTTCGCTGCTAATAATCCCACCTCTTATTATTATCTAATAATCCCACCTTTGGGGGTATTCTCTTCTAATGGTCCCTTATGACCGGTAACTTGTTGTTTGGGTAAGGGTTTTTTTTTTTTTTTTAATTCCTTGGCCACTAGGAGGTAAGAAAAAATATTAATTTTTTTATTTTTGTTTTCAAAACGATAAGGAAGAAGGAAAGGGAAAAAAAAAAATTACTTTTTAATTTTTTTTTTAAAAGAAATATATAAAAATATTTTTTTCAAAAAAAAAAAAAAAAAAAAATCCTTGGCCACCAGGAGGTAAGAAAAAAAATTAATTTTTTTATTTTTGTTTTCAAAACGATAAGGAAGAAGGAAAGGGAAAAAAAATACTTTTTAAATTATTTTTTTAAAAGAAATATAAAAAAATATTTTATTTTAAAAAAAAAAATTCCTTGGCCACCAGGAGGTAAGAAAAAAAAATTAATTTTTTTATTTTTGTTTTCAAAACGATAAGGAAGAAGGATAGGAAAAAAAAAATTACTTTTTAAATTTTTTTAAAAGAATTATAAAAAAATATTTCGACGAATCACAAAGTGACACGTGGCATATTAACCCATTACACCGGTCACCAACAGGTTAGGGACCATTAGAAGAGAATGCCCCCTAAAGGTGGGATTATTAGATAATATAATCAAAATGTGAGATTATTAGCAGCGAACCAGTTAAAGGTGGGATTATTAGAATCAAATTTTCCTTTTTTTTTAATAAGGTTATATACATTATACAAAGTATTATTATAAAGTTTTGTTTACGTGTAAGCTGTCATGAAAGTCAGCTTTCATTACGTAGTTAGACTTGTTATCTGAAACCTATGACCTCTCAAGTTAAAACTGCATTAACTATCGAGTCATTATAATTTAGTACATCTGTTATAATCTAAAACTGCATTAACTATCGAGTCAATATATGTCAGTAGGTTCGTAGCAAATGGGAAGCAGGGGTAGTTGAGGCAAAGGCTATGATTATTGGGCTTAAAATGGCGATCCAGTGTGATGCTAAACATGTTGTCATGGTGAGTGATTGTGAGCAGCTAATTCGGTTGTTACAGGGTAAGCAAAGTGATGGATCGTTCTTGGGGATGCTTACTAAGGAGATTAAGAATGTTGCTAAGTTTTTTTGAGAGTATTGATGTTGTTCATGTTTTTAGAGAAGCAAATTGTGTAGCTCATGCTATGCCTCACCTTAGCCCACTCATATATTTAACGAGAGTGCGGGTGGGGGGTTGTCCAAGCACTGTAGTGGATGTAGTTGCTACTGACTTTTGCTTGAACTCTAATAATAATTAGTCATCTTTTCTCAAAAAAATAAAATAAAACCCCGTTGTATGTTGTTTGACTCTCTTTAGGATAGATAATTAGTATTACATACATTTGCAACTCTCCTTAACATGGACTATTACTGTTGATTGAGTTGCTTGCTTTGGGCTTATAAATGATATTTCGGTCGGACAAAAGTTAAAATAGCTTTTATGCTTATCGGACCTAATCATCACTTCCATTTATTTTCCTCTTTATTTATTTGTACGTCTTTCATTTTTCATAGTTGAACCAAATATACCGAAACTTTTATAGTTTTCAACAAAGAAAGTGAAAATACTTTTACTTAATATTTAATAGAAGATATTGTTTTTTTTTTTTTTCCTTCTCTATTTACTCTAGATGCACATATATTAACCATTAAAAATTTTGCAACACAGTCCATTGAGTGAAATTTAAAATAACAATTTCAAAACATGTGCATTTTTACTCATCAGTATAATCTAAAGTGTAAAAAATGTTGAATTTTTTTCATACCAATTACACTTTCATAACAATTTCATAAGCAAGACTAATATATTGTTAGTAATGATAATTTATCTACATGGTCAAATTTTATTTAGAATTGCTAAATAGTTATCTTAAATAACATGGAGCGGCTAAAGCTCATATCTAATAGATGAACATAATAATATGTGCCTCCAATGTAATACAAGGATCGTATGACAAATTTTAGGCTTTATAACAATACAAACATTGCATTATCATCTATAATCATTGCATACACTCACAGATCTAAAAAAAATGATTTGCAAAATTAAATACCTATATGTAAAGTAAATGTATGCATTATAGTGTTTGGTAGTAAAAAAACATAAACTTTAAATCAGTTATATCAAATAGAGTACCAAACGATCCGCGAACATAGTGCACGGGCGTCCGAATTAGTTAGTTATAAAATATGAAATATTTTTACGTTACATGAAATAAATTACATCAAAATCATTTATAAATTAACAAATAAAGTGAAATCACCAATGTTCATATTTGGTTTAAAATCTTTTTGTGTGATCTTGATTTACAAATTTTTTATGAAGGGACATTAAGATTAATAGGACTATGATAAGTTTATGGTATGATTTTTCTTATGTCTATTTTTCTAATAATTTGGGTCGTTGCGGCTAAGTAGGCAAGTGTTTCTTAGCTCGTTTGGATATCGAGCCAGCCAGTAAGATTCATCAACTTTCAACCCCTTGTAGGACTTTAGGTCTTATAAGCGAAATTTCATGAATCATTCATACGCACCTAAATCAGGATCACAAGCATAACACACAAGAATCACATAATTATACCTTTGAAGCGTGAATTTCATGTAGCTATTCGATTGACAAACCAGGGAGAGAATAGAGCCCCAAGCGTGACTCCTCTACTTAGTCCACGGGATTAGAACAACCGTCCACCAATGCTAGATTGGTCGAGAGAAATGGAAAACCGCGATCACCACCTTCCTTAAACAACCGACCACCACGAATGATCACCACCACCACCGCACACCACCGTCGTCTAGGGGAGGAGAGAGCCATGAGAGAGAGGAAATTTGAGGGGGTTGGGTTTCGTGTTTGCTAATTAAGGTTTGATCTCACTGATCATGAATTTTCAATTCAACCCTAGACACTTAGTCTATTTATAATCCTATTATAATTAGACTAGGAGCAAAGCCGAAACCCTCTTAAACACCTCCATATGGCCGGTCACCTAGGGGAGAAGGCCCATCATGGGTCTTTTCCTCTTATGCTTGATCTAGGCCCTTTATGTGACCTTATAGAATCCGTCCAATTGGGCTTTGGCCTATTTTACTAGCTTAAAGATCGTTAGTACCTCTAGCTATGATATAACGATGACCCAAATGGATGAACTTAATTATCTCCATAATTTGATCCATTATATATATCTAGTAATTGTACTTGACGAAAACATAAATCCTTCAATCTCCCACTTGTATGTGACAAGTGAGCAATATTCAAATTTCTTAAGTCAATATGTGTCGGTTTGATAATATAATTGCATCCCATGTCGAGGTCATATTAATCTACAAATCATTTCTTGAAATCTGAGTTAGAATTACAAAATCAAATGATTACTGAGTAATACATTTGAACGCGGCCATGTATTTTCTGAATTCTCCCTCTTCAAGTGGCCATGACACATTCCCTAATTAAATAGGTAGACTCAATCCAATCATGTGACAACCAAAGCTCCCACTCAACTTTTGAAGTAACCAGGAAACATCTTTTATAGTCCCCTTTTATGGAATGATGTTTGGATGTACCACAGTTAAATTAATCATTGAATGAAATCAGTGTTCCACTCATGTCAAAGGAATCCACTAATATATCCGGAAGTTCTATTTTAAACTTCAAAGTAGGTCAATAGTTCGATCATGCATCATTCATGCATATCCATGTGATTGACCGAGCATCTCTATGCCCCTATAGCCCATGAAACTGCACTATCCAATCAATCTTACATGCTAGTCCATCTATTGAAATCATTTATGTCCAATTTAATGATTTCAAACTAGGAACTTAAATAATATATGTATTTAGTTCACCTGTGGGGTTTCGTTCACCAAATCATCGATTTGATGATCCCATCAATTCATAATTATTTTGGACATTTTAGTTAATTACAAAAACCATAATTAAATAAGAGAAATAATAAATTTCTGATTAAACATTATTCTGCAAGTTAATGTATTAGTTATGTGATATGTTTTCTCAAAACATATACAACTTAAATTACATAACTTGCTTCAATCCAAGAGCCTTATTATGACTCTCATACTTTGGTCTATGGAAGGGGTTTAGTAAGTAAATAAGTGATATTCTCACTCATATAAAACTTTGCAGATCTTGCCATCCCGCGAGTCAATGATCTCTTAAATGAGGTGATACTTTATCTCAACATGTTTGGATTTGTAATGTGACCCTGACTCTTTTGACTAGGCAAAGGGGTAATTTTGTCACAAAATAACTCGATCCAAACTTCCTCCTTAACTGCTTCTACTGCAGCTAAATATTTCATATTCTGACATTGAGTCTGCAACAGTGCTCTACTTTGAACTCTTCAAGTTCACTGTTTCTCCATTCAGACATAAAATGTATCTAGATCCAAATCTAAAGTCATTTTTATTTGTTTGGAAACTTGCATTCGTATAACCCTTGTTGACAACCAATTTACTTTTGCCACCATAGACCAGAAACATTTCTTTAGTGCTTCTCAAGTACTCAAGGATTTGTTTTTAGCTACTTTCTAATGTACTTCCTCTTAATTTGCTTGAAAATTGTTACACATGCTCAAGGCATGTGCAACATCCAGCTTTGTACATATCATGGCATACCTAATGGACCCTATTGCAAAAGCATAAGGTACATTATTCATACATCTCTAACTCTTCTAGCTTGCGTAATACGATAAGATAAGGGAAGAAATCCTCTCTTAGAGTCTTCCATTTCGAATCTGTCAAGAACCTTATCACCATAAGTCTCTTGATTTAGTTTAGTCATCCTTCAAGACCTTTCTTGATGAATCTTAATTCCCAATATGTACACAACATCTCTTACGTCTTTCATATAGAAACAACTCTTCAACCATTACTTGACTGACTCAAGCATTGATATGTCGTTCCCTATGAACAATATGTCATCTACATACAAGACTAAGAAAACCAGATTGCTCCCACTAAACTTTTTGTATACACAAGATCCTTTTTCGCTCTTAAGGAAATCAAACTGTTTAATTGCCTCGTCTAAACGAATGTTCCAACTCCTTGATACTTGCTTCAATCCATGACTGGATTTCTGAAGTTTGCAAAAACTTTCTAGGATTTTCTAGATCTACAAAACTCTCAGGTTATGTAATATACACATCCTCCATCAAGAACACATTCAAGAAGGTGGTTTTGACATTCAACTGCCAAATCTCGTAATCGAAAAATTAGCAATCGCTAGAAGAATTCGAATAGACTTAAGCAACTAATGGGTTTGACCCCATTTGTAAGTCTATCAAGAACTAACACATCACTTTCAGACATGGAGTCCATCTTAGATTTTATGGCCTTAAGCCATTTCCTGTGTTGGTGCTTACCAAACCTTGCTTGTAGGCTGTGAGTTCCACACATTTCAATGAGAAAATTTTGAAATCCACATTTTATCAGAATTTCAACAAACTGTTTGTTATTTTGATTCTGAACTGCCTACTTACTGGTATGAGTAACAATATAATTGTTTCCTTCAACTCTTTGAAGTTTTTCACTCAAGTGGGACGATAGGAGTCTCACTAGTCGAATTAGCTTGCTCCGAGACATGATTCATCAAATTAGCTGACTCATGCGCCCTCGCCTCTGATGTGGTGTTATCTACATCCATTTGTTGCTCGTCTCAAATCTCTTCTAGAGCCACTTTATTCCTACTTGGCTTTGTAGAAATAAATTCCTTTCTAAAAAGACACCATCGCGAGCAACAAACATTTTGTTATCTGCGCGATTGTAGAAGTAATACCTTATTGTTTCTATGAGATAACTCATGAAGAAACATTTATCTGATTTAGGGTCTATTTTGTCACTTTGTAAACGCTTTACATAGGTTCACAAACCAAAATCCTGAGAAAAGACAACTTTGGAACATTTCCAATCCATAATTCATATCGTTCCGAGGATTTGTGAAGATCATTAAAGCTCATTATGGATCAAACTAAGTCAAGCAAAGTTCGATTCCTCCTTTCTAACACACCTTTGATTGTGAAGTAATTCGACAATCTCTTAGATGATCATAAAATTCTTGAGTCAAATATTCACCACAATGATCAAATCAAAGTGCTTTAATTGTTTTCTCAAGCTGATTTTATACTTTATTCTGGAATTCCTTGAACTTTCAATGATTCCATCTTTCGCTTCATTAAGTAGATATGGCCATATGTATTTAAATTGTCAGTAAAAGTAATGAAGTAGTTAAATCTATATCTAGCTTTTGAACTTATTGGTTCACATACATCTTTATGTATGAGTTCCAAAGGTCATTAGCTCCTTCATTGTTTTCAACTAAAAGGTGACTTGGTCATCTTACCTAACAAGCATGACTCGCAATTCTCAAGTGATTCATAATCAAATGAGGATAAGAGTCCATCCAATTTTTAATATTTGGATGCGCAATTGGTTTATGTGACCTAACCTTACTATGTTAAAAGTAGGTTGGTTTGATTCATCAGTTTCTCTTTTGTGATCTACTTATATCAATATTATAAAACAAAATAAACTCATAGCTAGCAAAATGAAAATAATTTATTACCTTGCCATGGATCAACACTTGTCTATGCCAAATAAAACCAATTAGTATTTCATCAAAAACTGAAAAAATTGTCTCATCAAAAACCCAAAAATAAGTCTAAATCATCATAAAATAATCTGAAACAAAACTATGAAGCTATCTCTAGCCACTTGAACACTTCTCGTGCACCTTCAAGCTCCATTTCCAAGCTAGCCTCACTTATTTGCAGTTTCTGCACAACATGAATAATGTTAGCACTGCAACTTGATATCACATACCTAAGTGAAAGTTAAAATGTTTATAACATATCACATGAGGTCGATGCTCCATTCTTCTTGAGGTAGTCAAGGTATATCTGGCAGTTGCGCTTCCAATGCCCTTTCTTCTTGCAGTAAAAGCATTCACTTTCACTTGCAGGTTTGGGCTTTGGAGTCGCTTTGGGCTTTTCAGGAGCCTTGACAACTTTCTTGCCCTTGCTCTTTGCACTTGCCCCTTGCCCCTCTTCTTGAACCCCTTCTTTTTCTAGACCATAAGAACCTCTTTCTTTACGTCCTTGGGGGTTTGCTTCTTTGCACTAACAAGCATAGCATATAACTCATTCATAGTCTTCTTAGCATCGACATGTTAAAGTTCTTGATAAACTAATTAAAGGATTCTAGAAGTGAGTGGAGAATGATGTCAGCAATTTGGAACCTTGAAGCAAAGGGTAATAATTAAACATGTGATGGTTAATTATTCAACCAAGAGTTACAAGAGTTGTAATCAGTAAAGAGCTTACTCACCTTGAAAATGTAATGCTTGATGGTAGGGCCTCAGTCCGGTCAACTATTACATAAATAAAGGATCTTGGAATCACTTAATTCAATTGGGATCATTTAACGCTAATTTTCTGTGGTGCGGACGTTTAAGTGAAAAAGAAATTATACAACCTTTACGACCGACAATCTTCTTTGGTTTCTTTTTGGGATCGAGTGGTGTAATTAGCTTTCTTAAGGCTCACACTCATGAAGCGTTACCTGGCTAATCCCTTTTAAAATGTACTGAAATTATCATTTTCCTTGATTTCTAGTAGATTTTCTGCCTTCCCATCTTTGTAATTCAACCATTTCTTTATCAAAAAAAAAATATCAAAAGTTCAGAATTTTTCTTAGCCAATTAAATGAAGAGACATACTAGATACACACCAAGGGGTGCAAACACTATATTAAAAGGTTTAATGACATAGTGTTCACACCCTCGACCACTTACAAATCACCCCAGCTAAATAGCCTATCAACAAACACTAGCCTAAAGACCTTTAATCAAATACAATCATCCACAGGGGCGGACCCACCTTTAGTCATAGTGGGTCCGGTGACACAGTATTTTTTTTAAAAATAAAATATCAAAGAGACCCCTTATTATAGATAGGCGGTCTCTTTGATGCTGCTTTTGGTAACAACAAACAACATCAAAGAGACCTCTTATTAAGGTAGGCGATCTCTTTAATGCTGCTATTGCTACTTAAATATTAAAGAGACCTGTTATTTATATAAGAGGTCTCTTTGATGCTGCTATTGCATTTCGCAGTATTTT